GGCGCAGGCTGGGGGGCACAGGCTGGGGGCGCAGGCTGGGGAGGCGCAGGCTGGGAAGCCACCAGGCCTGTCTGACGACACCTCCGCATGGCGCCTTGACCACCGGCTCCTCCAGCTTCCCCCGTCTCCCCCTCCCAGCCTTGCAGCCCTCCCGGGGTGTTGGGGAACCCCAGACCTCAGCCCCAGCTCTGGCTTCACTCTCAGTGAATGAAGCCCCCTAATCCCGCAGGCTGAGTGTCTGCGCCCTGCGGAGGGGCAGCCCTGGGCCCTGCGCCCGGTGAGGCCCCCCCCGGCCCCCAGGGGGGCTAGGTCCTCCCAAACCCGCGCTGGCCTCTGTGGACCGCACCCCCTTCACATCCCGTCTAGGGGAGGCCTGGGAGAGGTGTCTCAGTGGGGGCCGAGACCTGACCCGATGGCCCTGCAGCCACAGCTCGACCCTTGGCGGTGGGAATTCAGCAGGACCCAGGATTCATCTCGGCCTGAGAGCCTAGGATGTCCCGAGGCCCAGGAGAAGCTTGTGCCGTGGCCAGCGGCGCTGCACGCCCATCCCGTGAGGCCTGAGAGCTCCGCGGGGAGCGGGCACATGGTGCCCAGCGCCGATGGTGCCCTTCCGTCCTTCCCGGGTGGCCCTGAGCGAGTGACAGCCCTTCTCCATGCTCCTGCCCCTGTCACGTGGCCATCACGGGCAGATGCACGCGGCGGGCACCAAACCCCCAGTCCTAGTGCTCCATTTTACAAGGGCAGAGACTTGCCCAGGGTGAGGCAGCTGGGAAGAGCAGGGCTTCAGGACAGAGCTGGGCTTCAAGCCTCACAGCTACAAGTCCACTGGACTCGGGGCCTTAGAGGAGAGGGGCCGGGCTGTGAACCCCACATCCATCTCCCACTCCATGGAAGCTTGTGCTGCACAGTGAGGTTTCCAGGCTCCTGGCAAAGCCCCACTTCACTCTAAAGCCCAGAGAAGAAAAGGCAGGAGAGCCTAGGAAAGCTGGGATGAGACAGAGAATGAGGCACTCATGGAGGACCCGGTCCGTCCAGCTTTCCTCATGTGCCCTTGGGCAAACCGGTCACCATCTCGCTGAGCTGCCTGAGGAAACTGAGCCTCCAAGGGGATCCAGGCTGCTTGTGGTCAACAGCAGAGTCAGTGTCAGAACCAGTTCAAACCCCAGTCCTGGCATGGACAGGCCCTGCCCTCCTTCCCTTCTGTAGATTTGGGACCCCCTTGCAAACTCCTGGCCCAGCCGTGCTGTGGAGGTGCACAGCAGTTACCTCACCTAGAAAATGTGACACTGAGGCCAGGAATTGTCTTCGGCCACCTCCTCTGAGTTGACTGCTAGGGACCAGGGCTGAGCAAGGGAGTCCCAGGAGAGCTGTGCTCAGATAACTTCAGTCAGCTCTCTTCATGGATTGCCTTCAGACCACCTGGCGCAGAGGATCACGGGAGCTCACTGAGCTCCTCACTAGTGCTCTGTGAGCCCCAGCCACCTTTAACTCAGCTCTGCGGTTCTTCCTCCTCCGCACCCTTTCTCAAATTCTTAACTACTTCCAATGGGGTCGCCTTGGACTGGGAATGTTTCTCTCATCCAACTAGGAATAGTGGGAGGAGACAGCCTTGGAAACTCCAAAGAAATAAGGGCTGGAAATATAAATTCTCTTCAAAGCCTGGGAGGGGTAGTTGGTCCCTATGAGGAGGCCTTGGGGGGAGGCAGGTTGGACCTCCTGAGTTAGTCTGCCAAGGACTTGGAGTAGGACCGGTGATCTAGACATGTGCCAATTGGCATTGCCTGCCACCATGCACACAGCGTCAACACCTGTGTCTCCCAAGGGGCGGAGGGTCCCTGGTGGAGATCTGCCCCTCCTCAGTGGTCTGTGAGTGCCTACAGTGTGGCACTCTGGGGGCCCACAGGTCCCCACAGGAACCCCTGCCGGCTACATTAATAGCATAATAGTAATGGCGTATTGCTGTGAATATCTGTGCGCAGCCCCTTCACTGTAACTTAGGAAAACAGCACCATTGTGCAGAGCACAAGCCTTAGGGAGGAGCCCAGTCAACCCACAAAGATCATGAGATAGGATGGCTTGTTACTGCAGCACAACCCACTAAAAGCGGACTGATGTGCTGCAGTATTAAACACTTGTTAAATTGTAGCTAAACATTTGTTTTCTTTGGGACTTGCCTGACAGTTGTCAGAGCAAGGACTGTAGAAAGTATTTCTCTTTCTACTACACCTGGACCATTAGCTGTCCGGTGTGGACAGGGAGGCCACCAGCTCTTGTTGCTCCACCCCCCCCCCCAATGTGTAGCCCTCACTTTGGCTTTGTGTTTAGAGATGCTTGTGGACATCAGGTACTGGTGGTTCACGTCTGTAATCCTAGCTACTCAGGAGGCTGAGTGGTTCAAAGCCAGCCTGGGCTGGAAAGTTTGTGAGACTCTTATCTCCAATTAATCACCCCCAAACTGGAAGTGGAACTGTGGCTCAAAGTGGTAGAGCACTCAGAGACAGTGCCCAGACCCTGAGTTCAAGCCCCATGACCCCATGACCGACCCCTCCCCCCAAAAAGATGCTTATTGATCCCCAAGTATTGCTGGGGGACATGCCTTTTGAGACCCTCCCTCAGTGAGCACATTCAGAACGATTATTTCCCAAGACTATTTGTCAGAACCTGGTCACACCTCGCTGAAGGCTGGGAATGAATCCGGGAGACCCAACCAGGAATCAATGGCCTGGAGATGTGGCACCTCCATGTGGTGACAGATCACAATGCTGTGAGCTCTTCATCACTGGGAGGGAAAGCAGAGACCCGGTCTCCTAAGGATCAAGGCTAGTAGTAACCATGGCAGATGCCTGTTCTAGGTCACAGCTCTTGCCTGGATACCAGGCCAGGAGGGAACCGCTAGGCAGGATAGGCTGGTGGAGGCTTGGGTGCCCCCTGGTGGTGAGCCTAGGCGGGACATGGTAATGTCCCCTGGCGCGAGGCTAGATGGGATGCGGTAATGGAGGTGCGGGCGCCCCCTGGTGGCAAGGCTAGGCAAAGCTGGGGTGACAGAGATGTAGGCCACCCCTGGCAGGGAGGCTAGGTGGGATGCAGTGATGAAGGCATGGTGCCCCCTGGTGGTGAGGCGAGGCAGGACATGGTGATGGAGGCCGGGCCTTTGGCTGAGGCAAGACATGAGGAGGGGTGAGGGCAGCAAGGCTGGGTGGGACCCAGGGATGGGAACCAGGCTCCTTCTGTGGTTGAAGCTAGGCAGGATGCAGGGATAGGGGATCGGGCGCCCCCTGGTGGCAAGGCTAGGAAGGATGCTGTGATGGAGGCATCAGCGCCCTCTGGTGGAAGGCGAGGGCAGGACGCGGGAATGGGCATGGGCGCCCCCTGACGGTGGGGCTAGGCCAGACGCGGTGATGGTGGCCATGGACGCCACCTGGTGGCCGTGGCCTGGTACACGGGGATCATCATCTTGGCCCAAGCCTTCCCTGCTCTCCTCCGGCTCCCGCTGTGGTGTGCTTGGTGCCCAATGTCCCCTGCTGGGCCCTGGGCTCTTCTGAAACGTGGGCACCGGCTTCAGGTCTCATGGATGGGCTCCATGCAAAGGGCCTGCAGCACAGGATCCCCCCTGGGAAAGATCAGAGCGTGGGGAGGACCCAGAACTGTGCGGCTAAGTCGGGGTGCAGGGGACCCAGCCGGTCAGGGCCAGCGGGCTGGGGGTCGTCGGGTTCGCCTGGCCTGAAGCACTCTGTGCGGCCAACAGATCCCAGGCAATGCTCCTAACAGCCAGTGGCCCCACCGAGGGGAAACTGAGGCTCAGAGCTACAAAATCATTCCGTAGTGACAGAGCAGGGCTGAACCCCAGCACCAGCTGAGCCCTGGCCCACCCGGTGCAGCCCGCGCGCCCCAGGGCGCCTCCCAGAGCCCGTGGGGAGGGATGCGTTCTAGAGGCAGGAGCGCTCCAGGAGGCACCCTGGCCTCCCTTAGCCGTGTTCTGCTTCCAGCTTCAGGAGCCTCGAGTCATGGAGTCTGAGGCGGCATCAGATGTCAGTCCAGGCCTGCCATTCTCCAAAGCTTTATCCTGGCAGAGCCGGGACAACAAACTCTGGGTTAGAATCCCATTTTACAGCGCAGAAAACCACGAACCAGAGTGAGTAACTGCGCTGAAGGCACACAGCAAGAAGGCCAGCCTGGTGCTGGTGGCTCAGGCCTGTAATCCTAACTACACGTGCAGGAGAGCTGAGGACAGCAGTTCAAAGCCAGCCGGGGCAGGAAAGTCCTTGAGACTCAGCTCCAATTAATCACCAAAAAGCCGGAGTAGAGCTGGGGTTCAAGGGTAGAGTAAGTACTAGCTTGAGCAGAAAGGCTCAGGGACAGCGCCCAGGCCCTGGTGTCCCAGGGCTTCACTGGTAAAATGCAGAAAAGGCTCAGGCTCAGCAGCCTTGCCCAGTGTGGTGGGGTAGGTGAGGGAAAACTCCTTCTGCTGAATCAGGAGGGCTGGGACCTGGCTCAGGCCTAGAAAACGTGGAGTCCTGACATCACATCCCAGTACTGGCAAATATTCAATAATAAATACATATATTTCTAGGTACTTTTTCCTTTTGCCAGTCTTGAAGTATGAACTCAGGTCCTGCACACTGTCCTGAGCTGCTTTTGCTCAAGGCTAGCACTCTACCACTTGAGCCACAGCCCCACTTCTAGATTTTCCTGTTTATGTGGTACGAAGGAATCGAACCCAGGGCTTTATGCATGCTAGGTGAGTACTCTACCACTAAGCCACATTCCCAGCCCTACTTCCCTTTCTTATAATGATTTTATCACAGTAAAAGGAGCTGTGCAAAAGGAAGGGGAGCCGGGCGCTGGTGGCTCACGCCTGTAATCCTAGCTACTCAGGAGGCTGAGACCTGAGGATCAAGGTTCAAAGCCAGCCTGGACAGGAAACACTGTGAGACTTATCTCCAATAAACCACCAGAAAACTGGAAGTGACACTGTAGCTCAAATGGTAGAGCACTAGCCTTAAGCTGAAGAGCTGAGGGACAGCGCTCAGGCCCAGAGTTCAGGCCCCACAACTGACCAAAAAAAAAAAAATTGGCGTGAATGTTCTCC